TAATTTTTAAAAATCGATTAGAAGTATTTTCTTATTGAAAATGTGACTTGGAAGTAATATCAAAGTTAGCCATTTGTTGATTTTTGGGAAAATAAATAGAAATAAAAAAGTCGAGGGGAAACCAAACTTTTTTGTTTGTACTGTAAAAGAAGACCAACTTGTTTTTTTGTCTTCATTGATTTCTTCAAAGGATTATTACGAGAATACCCTATGGAATATCCAAAGTTTGGATCTTTAAGAAATCCAAGCTTCCCTTCCCATGGAGTTTGACGGAGAAGAAGGTGATCGTGGGCAAAACCCTACAATTATGGAGAGGGATTCAGATTCGATAAAAGATAAGATCGCAGAAGAGCCTTCATGGTTCTCTCCCAAAAAGTAATTACTCCTTGTTTCTTCATTGTATACGTTTCTTATGTCAAATTACGATAACTTGTGGCAAAATTGGGGATAAATGTAGAAGCTTTTGAGTTCATGGTGTCAATTGAAGTAGGAAAAGTTTTTGTTTGTGCTTGCAATTTGCGAATTGGTTCTTTTTTAAGGAAGTTCTGTACATTCGTTGAAACTGAAGTCAATGATCCTTTTTTGTTTGAATTTGCGTGAAAGCAGTCTACTTTTGTTATATGTTTGTATAATCAAATTCTGGGTTCTGGGTCGAATTTAGTTTGATGGTGAACAATCGATCAATTTAGCTTTGGAAATAGGAATCTTGCTATTAACTGGAGTTCTTGTTGCTGTAAATGTATTGTTAAGTTTTGATATGCAAAAGCTCTGTGAAGTTATTTTCAGCAATTTTCTCACTCCTTGAACTGCTTGGAACCTGAAATTCTTTGGTGTTTGGTTGATGAATGTGTTGGTAATGTTTATATCTACTTGTCATTGATTTAGTCTATTCTTGTGTGGCTATCTCTGCAGGCTTCTCTTTGTGTTTTGTGTAGTCAACTTAATAAATTACATAGATCGAGGAGCTATAGCAAGTAATGGTATCAATGGGAGTCGTGGTACTTGCACCTCAAGTGGTACATGTTCAGCTGGCAGCGGAATACAGTAAGTTTCTATTTGTTTGCCGTCTATCCGTTAGGTATCGAAATTCTGAACTGGAACAATAGTGTGACTTCAAGTAACCTTTGATTTAAGCTAGAGTTGGTAGTTGAGCTGATCATCTTTCATATACCGTTAGAAAAGTCCTTGGCTTTATCGTATCCTCTATCTCTAGCTGCAATCCACTTGTTTTTGATGTAGAATATTATATGAAAAATATATGTGTGTGAGATACCGATATTGGGTTTCGTGGCTGTTTAGTAATGCCCATGGTTGTACTATACAGGGGGGATTTCAACTTGAGCAATTTCGAAGACGGAATTCTATCATCTGCTTTCATGGTTGGACTTCTTGTGGCCTCTCCTATATTTGCTTTAGCAGCAAAGAGGTGTGTACTGGAATCCCCAAAGTTCTGAGTACAAAGACATCAATTTTTATCGAAATTTGAATCAAAGTTTCATTATCTTTAAGGTTGTTTATCTCACTTACTGTTCTGTGTTGCAGATATAATCCGTTTAGACTTATTGGAGTTGGATTATCTATCTGGACTCTTGCTGTGCTTGGCTGTGGTCTTTCGTTTGATTTTTGGTCCATCACAATCTGTCGCATGTAGGTCTAGTTTCTATTTGGTTTTTCATATTATATTTTCAAAATCATATACGGATCTGTTTACCTTTTATTACCTTATTCAGGTTCGTTGGTGTTGGTGAAGCATCATTTGTAAGCCTCGCTGCCCCATTTATCGACGAGAATGCTCCACATGATCAGGTAGCTGCAGCTGGAATGAATTTGTTCTCTCGATCCATTATTTTAGAAAAAGGACGGTAATAATGAGCAACCAAGTTAGATAGTCTGATAAGTAGCAAGGCACTTTTGTTTTTGTCTTAACCAGAAATCAGCGTGGCTTGCTATATTCTATATGTGCATTCCGACAGGCTATGCTCTTGGCTATGTATATGGTGGACTGGTTAGTTAAATTTCTTTTTATATTCGACCTATGTCATAGTATTCTGATTATATTGTTTTTCTTACTCCACTTTCAGTTACCTCAATTTCGCTCTTCCTGTTTTTTGTAGATGGGGGATATTCTTCCTTGGCGTGCTGCATTTTGGGGAGAAGCAGTACTTATGCTTCCTTTTGCTGTTATAGGTTTTGTTATCAAACCATTGCATTTGAAAGGTTCGTATTCGAAGTTGCAAACACACACAAAATCACTATTTTGCTGATGGACTTGGAGCTATTTGTAATGAATCTTGTACCTTCAGGTTTCGGTCCAGATGATACAGGAAAACCCCGGACAGATAACTTAAACGTTTTGCCAACTGGTTATGGATTCTCATCCGTCATGAACGATATGAAAATGCTTTGGGTAGATAAGGTTTATGTTACAAACGTTCTTGGTAACCAATTCTTCCTTCCCATAAAACATTTTTTAGCAAGTGTGTCTTTATATAATTTAT